TTAGTGACAAAGAGCAAGTAAGTATATTTATAACACATTTGTTTGGTATGTTTTTTTTTTATTAGATACAATTAGTAAGCTGCATATTTTACAAACGCTTGCTGTTAAATATTTATAATTAAAACACACACAAAAAAAAAACCAATTGTAAATGAATTTTGTTTTAGAATTTGGACGAAAAAATGCGTGAAATGAACTTGTCGATGATTTGGCAGAAAATAGCGCAAAATATGAAGAAAATCACTGACTGAAATCACCTACAAGGTTTAAAATTAAATTAACTTAACTATATTTATAAGACTGTTACTAGAAAAAACAGAAGAATATTCTATACCATTGCCAGTTATTTGATTCAAAAATCTCTCGCATGGAAAGCAGCTAAACTAATATTTTTGATATACATACATATCCATTTAATTCCATAATAAGTATGTAACTAGAAGCTTGCGCTAGTTATGGAAACTGTTTCTACAGCTCTATTTCTTTAAATATATTTTTTTGCTTTCTAAGGCTTGTTTCCACTATGCCTTAACTTTCTGCAGCAACTTTTTTTTCAAGAGCGTAAGTAAATCGACCCGAAAGTTGTATGTATATACAGTGACACAAACAAGCGTTCACATGGCTGTTTTTACTGAATATTCACAATGTTTTTCAGGCAAAAATTTGTCGTAATTTTTTATAAATGCTTTAACCAGAACCACATATAAGTAGTAAATGAAAGTTTCAAACTTAATACAAAATTAGGAAAAATTTTACACATGTTCATCAAAATTTGAAACATTTTAACTTAAATTTTTATAAAATTTCGGTTATGTTACTTTTTGGTTATACTCAATAAAAAGACAAGTTATAAGCGGCTAAAAATTCGTATTGGTTTTACAAATTTTGTGGATGGTTCTAGAACTTTTTTCCCATATAGTAAGTAATTATAAAAAATCAACGCTATTTTGTAGACGCTTCAAACTAGAAATTTGTCGTTTTACAATTTTATTGAATTTTTCCAATTTTTGCACAAAGTTAGAAATTTGGATTTATATGGCTTTTGTTAAACATATCAATTTTCTTCCTTTATGTTATTGAAAAACTATTTAAAAAAATTCGGTATTGTAAAAATGCTTGTAAATATAGACCTTGCGAAACGGAATATTTTCCTAGTAATATACAGTCTTTTTGTCCGAAAAGCATTAAGGATGAACAATATTAAAATCAGATTAAATGTTTAATATTTAAAAAAATCACCATATGATCGCTTTTTGAAGTCGCTGTATGTGTACAGTCAGCGTCAAAAATATAAACACAATGACGCCAATCTCTATCACTCTTGGCTAGAATACAATTAAAAATGCCGAAAATTAGCAGAAAACCTAAGTCAATACAGTGGTTTATTTATCCACCGATTCTTATCGATAGTAGCTTGATTTTTTTTTCAAAAGAATAGGCTTTAATACAAATTATAAAAAATTATAAAATACTTGTTATTTTATTATTTTTTTTTCTTATTAAAATTTAAAATTTTTTCGCTTCATTTTTGGTGTCATTCTAAAAATTGAGATTTTTCCTACAATGTTATTAGAATGTAGCTGATAACATTTTTCCCAAAAAGAGGAATGCTGCACCTCCATCGCCCATTTTTTTTCTCTCTTCAAAAGTTAACCTCCAAAAAAACCCAAACATGTGTTTTAATTTATTCGCTTAAATCTAAAATTTTGAAAAAAAAACTATTGTTTGTGCTAGGAGGTAATTAAAAAAAAGAATGTTAGCTTGTCCAAACAACTGTTATTTGCAGTTGAAAATGTGAATAATGCAACATTGGCACCAACTCGCACTGTGCCTAAGCCTGCGTACGTTGATTTTTCTTCAACTGTCGGAATTCGGCATTATTTAAATTTTCCATAGTAAAAACAAGCTTTGAAATGGCTGAAGGCTTAAAAGCTTATGATCTACATTTATATAGAACCTTCACTTTAATAAATACAGCACGTTGGATTTAGAGTTTTTTTTATTTTTTATTTGCATATGTTTTAAGCATTATACTTGCAACATATGTACCTATGTACGCAGCTTGTATAATTTTTCAAACTAATAATTGTTTTTTTCTTTTTTGCTTTCATTTCATTATTTTCATTACTCACCTATTGTACTGTGAGGGTGATATAACCTGACCTTCAACCTGTTGTCGGTTAATTGTTGGCTTCACTTTGTTAACTTGTTTCGCTGCTATGGAGTTCATATGCATCCCTGTACTACCGTTACCAGTGCCGTTCGTACGGCGGCCATTGCGACTTATAACTGAAAAAAACATAAGCAAAATTTATACTGATTTTTTTTTTTTGCAAACTACATTTTTATATACATTTAAACATATTAAGCACATTTGTTTGGTTATAGTATGTACTATATAGGGTGTTTCAAAATGAGCCAAATAGTTTTCTTTGTTACTCAACTAGAGGACTCTTTTTTTTAACATTTTGACATTTTAACCCGGCAAGAGAGCGAAAGCTCCTTCTCGTCAACTATGTTCTAAAGCCGCGGCCATTTACGAATTCTAGGGGCTAACAACCCTTGCTTTACGAACTTTTAGTTTATTCAACCGAAACATTTGGATCATTGCGAAACACCCCAGATATGTAGTTATTTATTTAGTTATAGTTACATACATACATACTAAGTATGTTTGAAAAAGTTAGCCGCTTTAAAATTTTTTGTTTGTTTACATATATAGTAATAACACTTAGTTTTGATTTTATATTAGTTTATAGTTTATACGTATGTAGATGTTTTTTGTTTTACTAAAAGGAAAAGCAATCACGGACTTAAAGTACAACTATACTTAATATACGAAATTTATTACTTGGGGCAGGGGTTTCAGGCTTTTTCGCAACTTACTTGTTTCAATATTAATTATTATAGCTATTAGACCTATTATGTGAGCTTTTTGTAATGGATTTAAAAACCAGTGACATTTCACAAATAAAAATTTATATTTACTTTTCAATTAATAATATTTGTTATAAAATTAAGGGAAAGGAAATAGCAGGCAAAGATGGGAGACGCTTCATTATTTAAACAGAATCATATATATCAAATAATCGTTTTATATATATAGAAAAAATATCGATTTCAGTTTCTTGAGAGAGATAAATAAAGTAGCCTAATTGATAATTGTACATTGGATAAGACTATGTACATAGTCATTTCCCATAGATTTTTAGTCGCTGAATAAGAGATGCTCTATAAGATTTTTTGTTTTTAACATTTAAACATAAAAGAGCCTATCTTCGAGTTTACGTAACATGTCGGATTTTATGTTCTTTTAGAAAGTGCACATATATAATAAAAAATTATATATCGTTACCTAAGGGTGAAAATGTGTCAATTCCATCTTTTTAAACTGTTCAGGAGAGACGAAAAATCGATGTCCTTTCGTAATACCTGCCATTCAGCATCGGAAACTAAATTTTGAAAAAAAGCGAACTTGGCACCTTTTCACCTTTAGGCAAAATGCCCTGAACTGAATTCTGAGTTTATAGAAAGAGTGAAGCATACAGTAGTCCGACTGATTTTCCTTTATACTTTATTCCTTCGTAGCCCGGTGGCAACAGGTCAGCAGCCGCTGGCGTAAAATGTTCAATGAGATCCTGCCCGAAGGATGTTTTCCACATTCTTCTTGGTTTATTACCTATAGATGTCTTTATCGACAACTCAGCTGCTCAGCGACATCAGACTGCCTGCGTTGGGGCTCTGAAAGACAATACGTTTCACGGGCACGGTTCTATCCCAGACGCATTACCGCCTGAAATGAAAGCGCTACCCATTAAAGCCGCCAAATGGCTGCAGATTGCACGGATTGTTGCGGAATCAAAATGACAAACTTGCTAGTTGCTTGCCACCAGGGTGACAAACCACTTAAACCAACCAAAAAGTTCGGTGGCCAAATACAAGATAATAAACATTTTAATAAACTTCAAAGGACAGTAAGGAAGTAAGGCTTTTCTCTCGGGCATGGTATTTACATATATATACATACAAAAAATAAATACAAGTGAATATGAAATCAAAAGGAATTTTAAATAAAAAATGTCACTGGTTAGATACACTGGTGACCTTTCGAAAAAAAAACACTTAAACAACACACAAAACCTTCAAATACTTACGGTTTACATCCTCTCTATCGCGTGTCATGTCACCTAGTTAATCACCACCCAAGCAATAAAAAATATATACAGAAAAAAAATATATATTTTAGAAAAATAGGCATTTGTTATTTTTGCGGTGATTATTTAGTTAGTTCGAAAAGAAAGGTAAATTTTTCAAACATTTTTGTACGCGTGTGTGTATAATTTAGTGTTTTCTTTGTGCGACACACATAGACAGTATATATTTATGTAAGTTATTAAAAATTAGCTTGTGCTAAGGACATCTGTACTAATTTTGTACTAAATATAGCAACTAAGTACTTAGATCACAACAGCGCTATAGCAGTTGTCTATTGTTGCTTTACGAAGTGCTAATATTAAATATTTGATTCTTTCGTTTTGCAAGTTAACGTGTGTGTGGCCGTAAACACTGTTGGGTTTGTTGTTTTTTGTTGTAGTTTTTAGAAAAATAGAAAAAAACATACATTTTACAACTACACTTTGTCTATGGACTGACAAAAATTTTACAGTTCTTTTAAAAGACTATTTTTCTTTTCAAATAGCAGAGAAATTGCGACACAAACGAGTCTAGTTTTGAACTATTGCGATTCGAATTAAGTATGATTACAGTTATAGAAGAGAGAAGTAGTGAAATGTCAAAAGAAGCAAGGTTACAAGTATTTGGGAAATATTAACAAAAAAAGAAAAAAATCTTACAAAATAAGTTTTATGAATAGTCGATTTGAGTAGTGTAACTATTTAGTTTATATGTATGTACATACACAGATGAATGCAATTTCAACGTATACAAGTTATATTTTAGTAAAAAAGCGAATAACAAGCATATTTTAGAGGTTTAGGTTTAGAGAAAATCAGAAATTCACTTAAGATAATTACTTAGTTTATTTCAAATATAATAGAATAGGTATACTGGCACGAGTACGAATGATGTAGTTACAAATATATAGTTGTGATTGAACGAGTAAGTATCACGTCTAAAATAGAAATTCCGACCACTAATGATTCGTATTTTTTTTGTTTTTTTTTTTGTATTAGTAAATAGACACATACGAGTGAACGTAGTAGACAGGTAATTATTTTAGTATGAAAGTAACTGATTTACATAATAAAATAACACCAGATACAACTTACAGTAACTAAAAAACAGCAGGTAACAGTAAGAAATACTTTAAATCCATATAGTATGTAACTAACGGTATTTGATTTTCTTTTAAATTTAAGGTGACTTATAGGATTTAAAAAAAAAAATAAAATAAAATTGTTTTGTGGGTAGTTCGCATACTAAATATAACAAAAAAAAAAAACAAGAAAAACACATCGTTTCGCAAAAAAAGTTAATAATGTTCAAGAGCTTATCTGCTTGAATATTCCTGAAAACTCGATTCTTCGACTAAAGTTCCGTTTATTTGAACTATACGTGTATATGTATGTTTGTAAGTTTAAATGTTAAAATGTAGCGGAGCTATTGAGCTGAATCCAAGCAGTGTGTCGCACGCTCAGACTCACTTCAAAAAAAAAAAAAAAAAATATGACTCAGTTACACAATAAATATCGCAACATAGTCGGTACTCAGAGTAAAGAATGAAAGTAAAGCCGAGAAAATTGCGAAAAATTTAATAGTTGTGAAAATTTACAATTGGTTCAAGTTATTCCGCACACCAGCTCTACAGCGCATACAAACTCATTTCCTCTTAACGGATCTACAGTGTAAACCAGGTCTACAGCGCTCATCAGCTCTACAGCAGCGATGAGCAGAAAGAGCTTTTGCTCTGCACGCGCTTATACAAAATGTATAGAAAGCTTAAACAAGCTTTGCCCGCGGGCAAGGCAGTGCCCATCAGTGCTCTACAGCGTTCATCAGCTCTACAGCGCATACCAACTATATTCCGCTTAAAGAAATCTTCCCTTCTCAAGAAGTGACCTTATAAGTTCCACCAGTGGCCATTCCCGTCGCACGAAAACTGACAATGCTGAGTATCAAAAGGCCTCCCTTTTCACGTGGCCGGCACTGTTTTATCTATTTTGTTATCCGCACTGGGCTGGCAAATAACAGCGCGGAAATATTTAAAGGTCCTTCATATGGAAGGGATCATACAAATTCTAAGCTATATATCCTATACCACTGATTGTTTAGATCTATTTTTTTTATATAACTCCTAAATGTATGTAGTGAATATAACCGTTTTTTTTTTGGTCGCCCAAATAATTATTTTGAAATACAGTAATCGGTGGAAGTAAAACTTTCGTGCCCTTACTTGTTTTTTTCTTAATTTTTTTAAATATATTGCTATAGTAGCAGAAAATGCTTTTTATTCCAGTCCTTCGAACTTTTGGCCCGGCTTACGACTTTTTACCCAGATTAGCGCGTAATTAAATACATGGGAGTACATAATTTGCATTTCAAAGAGAATTGATTGGAATTCAAAACGATTTGTTTGTATTAAATTTAACTAGAGTTTGAGAAATTATAAAACTGTAATTGTTTTTCTGGCGATTTGTATCGATGCTACTCCCGAGAATTTGCATCCCTACTAAAAGTAAGAAAATATATGTACATATATATAGACGTGGCATCCTTTAAAGTGAAATGAACATGCTGAAAAACGAATGTTTGAGTCTGCCGCACACTGGTTTAATTTATTTTAGATAAATATACATACTTATTTATGTCAATGTCAAAATATTTCTGTATGGAAGATTTTGAATAGCACATAAAATTGTTTTACAGGAATTTAAGAAACTAATTTAAGATGCTAAGAAACTCTTTTTTTTTATTGTAAGCTACAATATTTTCACGTTCTTTATACCAATTAATTAAAACTGAAAACTGGGGGTAATAAAAGGTTATTACTAATAGTTTATCATAAGCATGGAATTATGAATTCTTCGAAAATTATCTAGCAATTAAATTTTCTTCTTTAAAGGTGACTTTGAGAGTGAAGTTGAAATATCGATCACTAAAAAATACAATACTAAAATGGAGATATTACCTGGTATAGAGATAAGAAAAATTGTACAATTAAATACAACTCGGCAAAAAAATAAAATAAAAAGTATCACTTCCAAAGATAATTTTTTAGATTTTTTCAGCAATCACAAAAGTTTAGAACTAAAAATAAGAGCGATCGCTTTCGTTTAACAGTTGTTGAAATAAAAACCAGAACTAAAAAAAAAACTTTTTTTTTATGTACATAGTAAAATTCTTTCTTCATGCCATTTTTATATACACAATGTATTTTCTTTTTCAAATATATCTTGCATTATATTCTGTTGCGATTTCGCTTGAACGCATGTTGAAAAAATCCCTTTTCCTTCCTTTAAAATAAATATGTACTTAAATATTTTTATTTATGATTTCAGTTTGCATGAAGAAAAATGAAGTCAGTTTATGAAAAATGAGCTGATACTTTTTTATGTTGTTGTTTTTTTTTTCAGTGGACGTGAACAAAAGATGTTTTCGAAAACGCCAAGTATGTATGTATTTATGTATGGACTTATTGTATGTATGTGGTATATTGTTTAATTTTATTACCCGTTACTGATCCGCGCACATGCACCCGCTTGGGCAGCTCTGGCGGCGTAAATGTGGGCGCTGGATGGAATTCATCTGTAAGATATTCACTAATCAGCAAACTCAGGCAAAAATTATGGTTTGTGTTGTAATTTTTATTTTATTCTTTCTTGTGATTCTACTCGTAGTTTATGTGTTTTTTTATTTTTATTTTCATTTTTGATATACAAATTCAATGAGTTAGCAAATAGTTTAGGGTATGTGGGTGTGAGCGTTTTCGTTTACGTTACTACATGTTGCTTTTGTGTTTCTTGTTTAGTTTTTTATGTTAAAATATAACATATTTAAAAAATATATCCTTGTATATAACCACTGTTGTTGGGATTGGATAACAAAATAAAATATCAGAAGAACAAAATGATAAACTGGTTGAGTTAACTTTAATGGAAAATAAAACAATCAACGAATTGAAGTAAAGGTAAAAAAATCAACTCCTATAAGCCTTGCTTTGAAAACGAAACTCATTACTACTTTTTTAGATCATACCAATATAAGTAGTAAGTACATTAGGGTGCATCACTCTCCATAAAAAAGTCGGTACAGTTTTCTTTCTCGGAATTATAAAATGTATTAAATTTAAAGATTTCTGCCAAAATATTATGCGAAAATATTAAATTGTATGTTAGCTGGACCGATTTGAAAGTGCATCCGAAGATGTAATTATTTTCATAAAATGTTCAAATATTTTTATGCAGATCTTTTAGGCTTCATTCATCTGATGAAATTTCTTTTGAAAAACTATTTTTCAAATCAGTCCAACTCATGTAAATCTTAACATATTTTTTTTTTTAATTCCAGTGGAAAACCACGACTTTATTTGGTGGGGCACCCCAATGTGCATATATTATCACAATAAAGTACTTCAAAACCATAATTAAAAATATGGATTGCTTTGACTTTGTAATGCCAGAAAGTCATTGAGAATTTTTGTATGACTCGGTGTTTCATATGCCAGTCATCCAACCAGGAATCAGAGAATGGTAGTAAATTAACAGTTTTCCATAAATATGGTTCAGATAGTGTTTTATCGTACTTATGTCGCGACTTTTGGGTGTGATCGGATACTAAGAGTAGCGCAAGGGATGTTTTCCAAAGATTTACTATGCTTGTTATGCCTTTGCATTGCCTTCTAAACAGGGCAATTCTGGCTAAGATAGTTACAACTCTTTTGTGCAATAACTGTAAGACAGTAGGCAAGATATGTATTTTGAAAGATTATGTTTATTCTGGGGCAGGAATATCTTACAAAAAAAGCTTCCTTGCTAACTTTCATGGTGAAAAGCTCTTTTGGAGGAAAGCACTTGAGCATGTTCCAAATGTACATATATTGCTCGCGCTGCTCCAACAGTCGCAATGCCCGAGTGAGCAAAGCACTTGCGTGCCATTCGAAAGAAACGATGTTCGAATCGCCAGGAATTTTGCTTTTTTATTTATTAAAGAAACTATTTTTCTTAGAATTTTTAGATAAGCTTCATTGTTTCAAATAGAAAAATATATATTTGTTTGACTACATTTAATTTTTAGAAACTTTTTTTGAAAACAATTTCCTTTAATTTTTATATTTTATTGTTTTAATAACAAAAATATTTTTTCGATTTGATTAAATTTTTAGAAACTTTTTTTGTAATATTGTGTTTCTGAAATTTTAGATTTATTGTTTTAAAATATTTTTTTATTTCATTTAATTTTTAGGATTTTTTTGTTTTATCGTTTTTTTCTAATTCATTGTAATAATTTTAACGTTTTATAGTTTTAAAAAGAAAAATATTGTTTTATTTTAATGAAATTTTTAGAAAGGTTTTTTTTTTTTTAATTCCTGTTTTTCTTTTTTAGATTAAATTTTCTTTTAATTTTTAGATTTTATTGTTTTAAATACAAAAATATTATTTTAATTTCATTTAATTTTTAAGAATTTATTGTATTTTTGCTTTTTATAATTAATTTTTTAGGTTTTAGTGTTTGAAAAATTAAGTTGTTTTTTAAGTTTAACTTTTAAATTTCACTGTTTTAAAAAGAAAAATATATATTTGTATAATTTCATTTAATTTTAAGAAACGGTTTTTCTTTTTTAATTTTAATTTCTTTTATCTTTTAGATTGTTTTAAAAAGAAAAATATTTTTGTAACTTAATCAGTTTTAGATTTTTTTTTAAATTTCATTGTTTTAAAAGAAAAATATTTTTAATGTAATTAAATTTTCAGAAACTTATGTTATTTTATCTTTTTTTCTTTTTTATTGTAATATTTTTTACTTTTTAATTTATTTCTATAATTCTTAGATTCTATTGTTTTAAATAGAAAAATATTGTTTTGCTTTAGTTAAGGTGTACAAAATTGGTTTAGTTTTTTTTTAGATAATTACGTTTTCTTAGAATCTATAGATTTATTATTTAGAAGAATATTTTTCGATTTCATTTAGTTTTTAGGAAAATATTGGATATTATTTTTTTTTGTTTTTTTTTTAATTTCAATATTTATGTATATTTTATTGGTTGAAAAACAATATATTTTTCAAATTGAATTAAATTTTAAAAACCTTTTTTTAAATTAAGTTTTCTTTTAATTTTTAGATTTTGTTGTTGTTTTATTAATTAAATTTTTAGGCACTTATTTTATTTTTTCTTTTTTTTTAATGTTTTTTGTTTTTTGTTTTTTATTTTTGAATTTAATTTTTAAAGTTTATTAAAAAAAGTAAATATTTTTTTAATTAAATTAACTTTTAGAAACCTTTTTTAAATAATAAATTTTAAAATATATTTTTTTTTGTAATTTTTTTGCATTTATTATTTTAGAAAGAAAAATATATTTTTTATTAAAGTAAATTGTTTAGAAAACTTATTGCTAACAGAGAAACTGAATAACGAACACTAAGACCTCCTCGCTAGCAGATCCCTCGTGCTAGAAGATAGTTGCCAGAATTGGCAGTTGTCTTAATAAAGACTTTTGACTGAAGAGCGCAGAGTGGTTAGATGGCATCAACATCTACGACTCATCTGTTTAAGGCCGAAAAAAATATATAAAATTTTTTAGCGCCGCATTTTTAAGACATCTATTTTAGCGGAGTTGCAAAATTAAGTAAACGTCTTTTGCTCGGGTTCATTAAATTTACGAACTCATTGAAGTGTACGAGAAGTTGGAGCTCGAATTGCAAGCCTATCTAAGTTGACCTCTCAACTTATTGCTGGTATAGAATTTATCGCTTAAATAATTGAAAACTATACACTAAATAAAAATATGTTTATGATTATATATACCAAAAATAAACTTATCTTGTAACTTAAATAACATGAAAAAGAGTTCAATCATAAATTAATAAGGAGAAAGAAACAAAAAGGGTTTTCTTTTTTTTTTTAAATATGGTAGAATTAAAACTTCAAGTGTTTAAGAAGGATATTTTAAGGATTTTAAAGTAGTTGTTTTTTTTTTTTTGGAATAGTCAATCTATGAAAGGTAAATATATTTTGCATGCTTAATTCAATATACATAAATATTGTTTTCATGAAAGGTGTTTGTGTAGTCAGTATAGAAAGATATTTTGTGGGACTTAGACGATTAAAGCATTGGTATTCAAAAAAAGAAGCGATACAAACGTATTGGTCTAAATACAAATGCTTAGAAGCGGAGAGTGGAAAGTGAAACTGCAGGCAACAAGCAAACAAAGTAGCAATTTTTCGATTTCGATTTTCGACTATTAAATAACAAAAAATGAATGGATTTGTTCAACATGCAATGCTACAACATTTGTTGCTATTTACTGTGTACTTAGTGTCAGGAAGTGGTTGACAAGCCAACTAAAAATAATGCTGACGACGATTAACAAATGGCGACTTAACTGCAACTACAAAATGCGTGTACATACATATGTATGTATGTAAGTACGTTTGTTTAACTATAAAAAATTAGCTAATTGTTTGTATGAAATATTTTTTATTATTGAGTGGAAGTAATAGAAAATAGAACTATTTATGCATAAACATTTTATGGTATCGGTGAAACCATTGCTATTCTATTTATATATTTACATACGAGGCATTTTCAAAAAGGCTGTCATAGCTCTGGGATTTTTCACAAGGCGCGTCTAAAGTTTTCAATTTGCTTCTAAAACATTTTTAGACAATATGAAGCGCCACCAAACGAGTAATTTAAAAAATTTGCTTTTTTCAGTTATGGCAGTCTTTTAGCTAATATGCACGATATGTGTAATAGTGAGTGCGCTGATGGTGCTTGAAAAGCAAAAGCAGAAAACTTAGCTTTGGCGCATTTTTTGTTTAATCTACCATTTTACGCTATCATTAACCTTTTTAGGAAGTTTTGTAGGGAAAATTTTGACTAAGAGTAGGACTCCACAACCGATTTGTGAGATGATCATCAGGGCTTAGGGTTTCAGCACTTTACTCAAATACACGCTGAGAACCAGAAAAGCGCGGAACGCATGAAAAACTTGCTGTGACGTCTACTTTAAATGTTTTATTAATGAAAAGAATTAGATATTTTTAAAATGGTGGTTATGGTTGTCACCTTCATTTCTGCTTCTACATTTTCAGTTAGCTAGCTTCCTTATCTTTACTTTCGCAGAAATTTAAAGCAATTTTCTAAACGAGCATATTAACTGTATACAAGTTGCATTTAAGAGTAAAAACTATATATTTTTTTTTTATCAAACTAGATACATACATACATACTAGGTATAGAAAAAACCATACGTAGCCACTAGAAACACTATAATATCACGTACAAATATATACATATATAAACCAATTTTTAACAATCTATTCTATTAAATATAAATAATATATTTTAATAATTATGCATAACTCATCTAATTTCTAGCTAATTAAGAAAACAACGATCAGTAAACTAATGTAACTATCGCTAATATAATTTTCCCCACCNCTAATTTCCAAGAATTTTAACATGGGGTCATCGGCAAAATTTATTTCTTATTTTTTGTATATTTTACTTTAGTTTGCTTCTACTTAATATTTATGAACAATTACCACCCTCGAGTTAACATTTCCTTTTTCCAATAGGCCTAAA